CGTATAAACGGTATTAATCGGAATGAGGTCATATCCACAAAATCGAATTTTCATCTCCTGTAAAACTTAACATTTTTACTTTGAAAAAAAAAAAAAAAATGGATGTTACTTCGGCCCGTTTGCCAAATTCACCGTGGTTTTATTATTGCGCAGTGGTCACACTGGCCCTAGGTTGTAAATTGGGCTTTGACTAAAAAGAATAATCTTAGTACACGTAAATGGTGCCACACAAGCCAGCAATTAAAATTCAGAACCAAAAAATGGACTTAAATTCATTTCACTTGCACTAAACATAGAATTTAGGACGCGTTTCGACACCCTTGGCATCATCCTCAGCCGCGATTCAAATTTTGAATTTTCGTCCATATTTTGGGATTTTAAAATCTTAATAAAAAAAAATAAGCCGTGCAAAAAGTCACATTTTTCTGCGGCTCTCTAAGAGTCAGAGGGAGTGACTTTGTGCGCTTGTTGATCCTACAAAGAGAGCATTAAGTTCATTCCTGTGTGAGCCATGGTTAGCACATGCTTTTATGTGTCTCGAGGTTCATCCCAGCATGCACTTACTACTCTCTTCGCTATCACGGCCGGCAGCAAGCTTCTCTTTTCGGCGAGGGCCGAGGCAAAGTTCGGATCGTATTCTGCGTGCTAAGGAAGAACGCCGCATGAACATACGAGAGTTGCCAAATTTCCCTTGATAGAACATGTATTTTTGACGAAAATCATGCATATTTTTCTTCGAAATTCTTAAATATTTTAGATTAAAATGCTTTCTAAACATTTTGAAAACAAATATTCACAATTTTCTCAACAAATTCGGTTTTTATCGAAGGAAATTTGACAACACCTGAAGGTTCATACAACGTTTTTCCTTAGCACGGCAGTATTAGGAGTCGTGCTGTGGAAAAGCCGTGCTTTGCTGGCCCTTAACGATGGGTATGAGCCGGAGCCGCCACACCGTAAGCGGATCAAAGATGTCACGAATTTTTAAACGAGGGATCAGAAACGGGCGGGGTTAGCGGGAAAGCTGTCGAACCCTAAATAAACGCCGGCGGCAACAATACCCGCGAGAGCCGATTTAAACGGGTCCCCCGGTCCCCCGCCCCCCTACCTCCCGCCGTGCCCCTTGCGGGAGGGAGCATTTACATTCTTATAAGATGCATCGAAAGTGATGCATGACTGAGCGCATTCTAGCGTCACACGCCCTGCTTCGCCTCAGCTTTCCTGGTGGTCTCCATTCATCATCGGGATCAGAGAAAGTTGCAGCTGCATCGCCGACGTAAAAATGCGTATTAGTCAAGTTATCCCGGGCTGTGTGAGTCCGCACTGGACGCCTTTTCGTACTTTATACCGGTTAGTTTTTGTTCTCTCTCTTCGACTTTGAAAATCCAAGAGAGGGAGATCAAAAGAGCTATCAGAGGTTGCTAAGCTCGTGCATTTGTGCCTCTCAAATCCCAATAACATTCAGGGTGTCTGCAAAAACAGGCTGGTCAAAAAGAAGATCTTTTACAGTACTTTTTCAGTACATTCTCAAGAAATTCAGTACCTCCTCTGACAAAAAAAATAATTTTCATTCATTCAATTTGAAATTGGGCAAAAAATAACAAAAAATTGAACAAATTCCGGACCTTTTTGTGGAATTTCCGCACTTTTCCAGTATTATCGGACCGCCCTTAAAAATCAGTACTATTTCCGGACTTTCCGGAAATTCCGGACTTGTAGACACCCTAATAACGAGAATCTAGTGGCCAAAGACGAACGATTCTTGCCATGAAATTACCATGGATAATTTCCCATTAAAAAGTTTATGAAGCAAGGGCATTTAAGTTTATTTTAGTTTTACGTTACTGCATTTATTTTTTGATTGACTTTCCAATGATTAGTCTAGATGCATGAAAATATCCCATTTCGAAATTTTGATCAGTTTGACATGCATTTCAACTGCAACAGCAACTGTTCAGCATTTCGTAATAAGGTATTTTCATACATCTAGGATAATCATTGTAAAGGCATTTAAGTTCTTTGAAAATCATGCTCAATTTTAACAACGTCTGATGGCGTTCTTAGCGTTAAGGAAAAAAGCTCAGGTTTAGAATTTCCACTCATCAATTGTTGTGAAGTCAGGCGAAAAGGCTCTTTAGAGGGGGAAAATGAAACTAAATAAAGATTTTACAACTCAGAAGAGTTAATTCTGCGTCATTTAGCGCAAAGAAAACTCAAATTAAAATTTAGAAAAAAAATTGAACCTTTGTGAGCATTTCAAAGTTAGGGTAGTGAATTGGAAAAAAATACAGATTAAGTTAGCCTGTGCTGTTGCCAGCTTTGGACACAATTAATTGCAAACGATCATGACATTGTTTATGGTGCTAATTGTGGCTTAAAATTTTGACTAAATTTTTGTGAGAGTATTAGAGTGTTAATTATTAAAAAGAATTAAGCACCGTAACCTGAAAATCGATGGTTATCACTCAAAAGCGGTTTCTAGCTGCACCGAAAAATTCAGTTTTCGACCTCAAGGGCATTGGTGCCTGACACCATTGATACTTCTTCATACTTCCTTGGTCGCCAGCATCTCTATATAACTAATATAATATCTAAAAAACTTAAGCTGTGGGTATATTTCCATAGCTGTAAAAAGCTATTATTTAAGACCATGATTTACAATGTAATCTGCACATGTTTTCACGGTTGAAAAACTTGAATGGTAAACAAGGAAGCGAGGGTTGTAAGTTAAATAAATCGACAAATTTTATGACGAAGAGGGTTATTTGCAACCCAAAATTTCAGAGTCACTCGGTGGCTTTTATACTTTCAGCAATTGACACGTTGAATAAATCGACCGGTGATTTATTTAATTCATTCAAAGTGATTTTAAGTTCCAGTTAAAAAGTTCACGAAAAATGTAGAGGAAACCGAAGAGTCGTTTTTACATTATTAAAATAAACCCCAGGGGTCCCATAGCTGGCAACACTCGACCAATACATGGTACAAAATGGAATTCCTGCTCTAAAAACAAGTCATTATCCTTTGTTCGATTCAAGGTAATTAGAGAAGTTTCCTTCTTGCTCATGCACCGGGAAGTTGTAATTTCAAGAAAAGTTATACAATAGATTAAGTTCATCCTCGAAGGAAAAACTTTGAAACTTACCGACAAAAAAAGAGGGAAGAGTACCATTTCTTCTGAGAAGAACGAACGAGTAAGAGGAAAAACTTCTTAGCGGATTTGACAAAACTTAAACTTTCTATAATACTGTTAACGCTTTACCTTCCATTTCAATGAGACATCTGAATGCTTATGGAGTATCAAGACTGGTGATGCATTTTTTTTTTGAGTAGATGCAAATTGTGGATCTTAGTACTTTATTTTTGAGAAAGGCACTAAAATGGAATTAATTTTTTGGGATGGTGACTATTATTTTAAAAATTTGGGAGCCGGACCCATCCTCCCATTCTTGAGTTACTCGAAAATATGCCCCAAACATGTGCTAAATCATACATTTTAACTGCGTTTTTTAGTCAGTCCGTGAGAAATGTTTGATGGCAGCCTTGCCAGCCTGGTTCAGGGTTTCTTTTATCCCTGTTATCGGTATACTAGAAATACAGAAAAACATTTGAAGCAAACTGAAAAAAAGGCGGAGCGCTACTGTATTTAATTCTGCCGGTATCTGAAAGAAAAAGATTAATGAAAGATTCTAGAAGCGGGGGAATAGGACGTGCAAAGTGAAAAGAAGAGGAGAAACGAAAAGCCCTGGACGGTGCGAGAGGGTGATAAGTTTTTCCTTGGACTTCACGATTCCCAGAATTTTCAAAGTTTCTTGGTAGAATTTTTCTTCAGAATTTTAGTTACGAAATTTTTGAAATGCGAAGCCTCTTGCAGCAATCGGAAAAAATGCAATCTTTTGGCTGGAAGAAAAAGAATTCAAATGTTGCACAGCAAAATTTTCTAACTGTCCTCTGACTTTCCAGGATTGAGCAATATTCTCTGACTTTCCATGATTTTTCAAACAATTTCAAGAAATCGTCACCCTAAGATCCTGCCAATTTCAGAAAGAAACAGATGGATGAAGGAATGAAGAATCGGAGGAGGGTATATACCGGACGTGAAAGACAGAGGAAAAACGAAGAGCCCAGCAGGCCGATCATTGAAATTGATAGACAAAACTATAGACAAAGAAGACAAACGAGATATGGAGGGATCCTATTGGTGGAAGCGGGTGGTTGCAATGGACAAAGGAGGTAGGTAATAGACTAACTAACCGCACCCCACGAGAGACCCGATAGTTTGTCCATCATTTTCTCCTTCAGTCTATAGGAACCACCCATTTCAAGCAATAGGATCGCTCCATACTCTCTATGTCTTCTTTGTCTATCGCTGTGTCTATTAATTTCAATAATCAGTCCGCTGGAGGGTTGAAATGAATGAACAAACCTTCTCTGACGATTTCCTCGTAAATCCTATACGTGGCCTCGCAGTCGAGCGGGGGCTTCCTGATGGTATCATCCATGGACTTGGACCTGGAGCGGAACTGGCCGGCATCGTCGGGGACCTCGAGGAAGCAGGAGGTCCTCCTATCGGTGGCCGTCGTCGGCTGCGAGGAGTTCTTCTTGTGGTAGGACCCACTCATACGGCGCCCGATGGACTTGATGAGGTCCTGGATGGACTTGTTGTGCTTGGGGGTCGTCGGCGTGGTGGCCGGGCTGGAGACGGGCGAGGCGCTCCGCGAGCTCCCCCGGGAGGGCTTGGGGCTCTGCGACCGCTCGTGGCGCTCCAAGCGGATGGCGACGGCGGCCGCGCCGGGGCTCGTCGAGAGGAGCGTCGGGCTCGGCGAGCGGGAGCGCTCCCTCGGGAACATCCCGACCCCGTGCGGGCTGATCGGGCGGAAGTAGCGGGCGGGCGCCTCGTCGTCCGGCGGCGTCCGGTAGATGAGCGGCGTCGCCATCGGCACCGGCAGACTGTTACCCCGGTCTCGCTTCACCCGGTTTTCCATCATTATCAGCTCCACTCCACCCGGCCGCGGGGTGTTGCCCGGAACGTGTCCGTGTCTTTCGCACTTGGCATCGAGGGGGGTCACTGATTCACGAACCACCTCCCGAATTCGCGGTCGATGACGACTGTCGGGAGAACTGTGCACATGTCACGTTTACACTCTGAGTCATGAAGGATTACCCCGGACTAGGATCCACTAACTTCCGGGTCAATTCACTGGCTCACGAAGACGGTTGGACACACTCCGCAGACATAGCGAAGCGCTGCTACTGTCGCTGAAAAATACGCACTTCACGATAAGAATGGGAACTAAGTTAACTTAGATTCGATTCAATATGGCGGCCAGGTCATAAACCGGACGATTTTGACCAGAATTACACGGTAAAAACGATATAGTGCTGAGCACTGACTGTTTAGATCAAATGGAGCCAGGTGATATGGCAGTACTGCTGAAACCTACAGTCTGTAGGGCTGGATCCTTAAGTTTTAGGGCTCAGCGCTACTGCCATACTAGCTGGCTCCATTTGACCTAAACAGTTAGTGCTTAGCACTATATCATTTTTTTGTGTAGTTTCATTGCATTTAGTGGCGACTTCAGCAAGTTGACAAGACTGTTGATACTCCATTAAAATCCATTGAATATATCGATTCTAGACGAGACAGGTTGCCTCGCCCAGAATCGATTGTTCAACGTACATTTAAATAGAGAAGAAACTGTGCTGCCACTTTGTAAGAGTCGCCACTGACTGAATTTTACTACGTCCCCTGATTAAATCTCATGCTTTATTTTTCACAGGAAATTCACGCAACATGGCGCTCTGAAACTTGTCATGAATAATTTCTCTCCTGAGTATGAAGAATAAACTCAATTATTTGTAAGAGCGGACTTTTGCTTGGTCTTATTTTAAAGAAATACAACATGAGAGAAAATCAAGCAACGACTGAGTTGATGTCGTTAATGCTGTCAAACTGACTGACAACGCGTCTGGAGTTTGTTCGGACAAAATAAATGACTCCTGTTAGAGTCTGAGTTAACCCAGCTCGCCACGTTGAATTGAATCTAAGTCGACTGGTTTGAAAAGGGCTAAGAATGAGAATTTCTCGTTTTCGCGCATAAAACCGTGATTTATAACTTGATAATTCAGCTGGACAAAGATTCTACCCAAACAGTTATACCATCTTTTCGAAGAAAGTTGTTCTGTTTAAAGTTTCCACTATGTTGTTATTATGATGTTCGGGCACATTTCCCCCCTGTAAACAGAATACCATTTCTATACGGGGGAAAATAAAAAATCGCGCAACGCTGCTTGCAATGTAAGAATATAGGGAGAAAATTAATTAGGATACAATGAATTACTTAATTACTTTCAGATGAGGCTGTTTTAATTCTTTAAAATCGGATTAAACAAGTCACAACGCTAATGACAGGTTGTTCATTATTTGAGAAGCGTTACGCGTAATACTAACTACATCTTGGAACGAGTCTCACGGATGGTGAGCTGTTTGACAATTCACAGCTCATTTTAAAATGTCTTCCCCGATTTTTCTTTTGACGTCATTTAATCGACGATCGAGATAACTTACGATAAAAATTCACAAAATTTCCGTTTCAAAGGTCTACATCTACAGGTATCGATAATTACAGAGGGACAGTGAAAAGAACACGCCCGTTCGTATATACTTCCTCCCACGTTTTTCAATGCTCGGTTATATCATTGGCTCCTGGATTTGATAAGGCTATGTTGCAGTCGACGTTCCAATAAATCAAACATCTGGGCAGATAATGTAGATTACCCATGTAAACTCAATTTAAATCCGGATAAACTAACATCGTGGCGAAAGCGACCCAATTAGAGAATTTTTCGATTAATCACGACAGAGTTTTTCATCGAAAAAAGGTTCGTACCTCATTTTCTCCACAAGAGCGTGGGTTAGGTTAGGCACAATTTCTACGAAGAGCTGGAGGAATTTTACGACCTACACGAAAGGCTATTATAATCCGGTACTAAAACTGTCGCGCCGAGATCACTATTCATAGCGTCTCGTACTCTTGCCCTCAATATTGACGTGTGTCGATTCATTGCCGCGATCTCGTTGAATAAGAAGAAAAAAAGTTTCATTCATTTTGTGCCGGCGGGAACGTACGGCGTTGATATGGCAACGATGGAAAACGGGCTTGACGCGCGTTTGATCCACATACCCGGGGTGGACATTTATTTAAATCGACTGCGAATCCACGTGCGCAAAATCGTCATAGGCCAAGATTTGTTTTCGATCTTCAACAACAAATTGGCTCCTAATTTGCTGTGTTATTGAAGCGGGCAGTGCTGTCACGCTAAGAAAGAACGCCGTATGAACATTCGAGAGCTGCCAGATTTCCTTCGGTGAAACGTTCATTTTTGAGAAAATTAATGAAAAATTTTCCTTAAAATTTTCAGGAGCTTTAGGTAAAACGAACAAAACAATCTGCAAAGTTGATAGAAAAATATCCAAAAGTTTACCGGGAAATTCGTGTCTTATGAAAGAAAATTTGGCAAAGGGTGAAAGTTCATACGACGTTTTTCCTAAGCACGGCAGTGTAGGCAGTAGGTAACTCCATGGATGAAGTAGTATTGAGAAAATAGATCAAAAAGTGTTCGAGCGGAAAATATTATTGAAAATGCATGTCCTCTATGTAGTTTTCGTAAAAATTGTCAATTCTTACGTGAAAGATTCTTAAAAGCTGTTCAGGTATTTAAGAATCAACTTCTACCCCAATCCATGAAAGAAGGGAACTGTTTCACTCTCAGCAAAAAATTAGTATGTGCTTTCGTCTGTGAGCATTCGTGAATATGTTTTTGACCAAAAAAACAAACAAACAAAAAACACATTTTAAGGTTAGAAAATAGCAGAAAAAGGCGCAAATTTGCACATACGACAGTAGATGGCACCATAGAGAAAAAAAAGGAGGTGTTTGCATTTCGGGCATCTTGGAATTTTTTGATGATTTGATGACGTAGGTCGGTACAGCGACATTTAGCGTGAAGGGGATGTCGCTGTACCGACCTACGTCATCAAATCATCAAAAAATTCCAAGATGCCCGAAATGCTAACACCTCCTTTTTTTTCTCTATGAGAGGGCACTACTGTCTCGCAGGATACAGCAGGCTTACGGCTCTCTCATACAACTCCTGTTTTTGAAGAAAAGATAAAATCGAGCTGTTTTAGTGGAATTGTTTAAATTAACAAAGTTGTTCGGCATTGCTGTCGTGTTTTAGTTGTAGCCTCTGCTACCACTGCCAAAAGCACCCTCTTTCTCTGTATTCAAATCATAGGAAAACTGGCATAGGCTGAGAAGAAAACAGGTCTTCTGACAGAACTTCCAGTTTTGTAGAGAGGTAATTTTTAAAGTTTCACCGCCGCGACAGTTTTGGGTCACACTATATCTCGATTTAGAAGACAATGACGCAAACGTGGGACTTCGGAGAGGAAGGGAGTCGGAGCACGTTCAACGTGTATGCAATTTACGCTGACTTTTGGAGGCAGCACTGCAGACTGCACCACCGTCGTCGATGCGTTGGAAAAACATGATTGATGTAAAAAAATCAATAAAGATACTCTTGACTAATTAGCATATCGCATCCTCCGGTGAAGGCTTTTTCAAGGCGCCAAAATACACGAAGACGACTAAAGATATGCAGGGGTAAATCAAAGCAGATCTTCGTTGATCAGAGTTGCCACTTTGGAAGATAAGATGAATGCATTCATGATTCTGTCAATTTTTTTAAAAAAAAAAATTGCCGTAAAATCTCAAACTAGAAAACCTTAGAGGGAGTTATGGACTTATAAGAGGTACACATACGATTAGCATTTTGTTCTATTCTACTACTCAAGGATATAATAACGCAATCTTTAAATTAAAGATAGGTTTTATGATCAAACCTGAACGCGCCTGTCAATAAAAGGGGTCTTTTTGTTCTACTTTCTAAAAACGTAGGGATTCTGTTCAAAGTCGTTCTAAACAAAACCTCATGATGGACATTAACGCTGTGTCACAACCAAGGACATTGAATAGAGGTCACAATTGATAGTGGTCGTACTGTCAACGTCAATATCAATCCTCGAGTAACATCAACTGATAAAAAATTACAAAAATATCGATTAAAAGGGTTTCTTTTTTTTCTTGGCCCAACAACTTCAAAATAATAGTATTTTTAAATGAACTCATTTTCCAAATTAATTTTTCAGAGGGTACTCGGGTAAAATGGGACGAGACGGGACCTTTCATGCTGATATCTCAGTCAACAAAAGCAACAAATTAAATGATGTTAATAAAAACGCCTTGATACAACTATTCGTACTCTATGGACGCGCGTGTTGCATATGAATAAATGGAAGGCGCTCTGGTCACTCTAGTCCGTGAAGTAATGCACGCAGCGTCGCAGCAGTGTGTAGCGCGCCACGCCAGTACAAATATGTGGAACGATGCAATTTTCGGATAAAAACTAAGGGGAAAGGACAGGAAAGGATATTTCCGCACCATTTTCACATATATCAGGACATAATACTTCACTACCACACCGAGTCGTGACAACGTGTCGCTGCGAGCACTGCTCCGTGGGCTAGAATCACCAGAGCGCCTTCAATTTGTAGTAGGTAACACGGATGTCCATAGAGCACGAATAGTTGTATCAAGGCGTTATTACCGATATCATTGTCCTCCGCTTGGTGATCAATACTGAAGCGTCAGGGAAAAACGCCGTATAGACACTCAAGCGTTTCCAAATTTCCTCCCCTACAAATTAAGAATTTTCTGGATGAATGGCAAGCTCTTTTTTTAATTATTTAGAGACTTGTTTGCAGAATGTAATCCGATGATGATTTAGGTAAAGCTAAGTTAAAAATTGCGTTTTGATTTAAGGAATATTGTTTTGCTTTAAGATTGAATGCCTCTGATGACATCATTGCGTATCATTCGATAGCGTGATTCAAGAAAACTGATGACGGCATCTGGTCTCTCGATGACACATTCATAATATAACGACCCTCGATCAATTCAATAAGCAGCGCATCTGTCATTCTGCTCTCCGAATTTTCTTCAACTGCGTCCAATTTCTTCTAAAAAATGTATCTACGCATGAGAAAAACCATGAAGTTTCTACGTTTAACACCGAATTCTCTACTTTTAAATTTCCGTTGAATACGCATGCCTGAACAGATAGGCTCGATCAGGTTGTTTTAAACTCAAAACGGCAACAGCAAGTACATCGACATCGCGGCTGCGACTGATGAGAAA